CCCCCCCCCCCCCCTCTGGTGCCACCACTGACAAGAAATGCACTATGAGAGCCAATTTCCATCAGCGTCTGCTACCCCAACAACTAAAAACTACACAACCTATTTTTAACAGAAAATTGATCCGATGATGGAATAATTGAATTAAAATATTTATCCTCCTTTGGAGTTTGGTGGGTGGAGGGGCTTTGAAAAAGTACAGTAGAGGAGAATAAGAATAATATTTGTTTTTCTTGATCTTGTTATAGGCCTGTATGCAAAATCAAGAATGAATTGATTCATTTGTTCACTAATTAATTTCCTTCTTTTTGTATCTATTTAATACTGCAACATTAAACACATTGGTATTACTTGGCTAATAGCATTGTGCTGTCATATTGATACTACAGTCAATTTTTCTCATTGTACATGTCGCATTTTGAAAAAATGGAATTAATCGGCATTTGAAATTTGCATCTGACAGGTCATGTAAGGGTTAAGAGAGTTTGTTCTTTATTAGTCTCTCATTTGATTCCTAATGTTATGAGTCAAGTGCTGTTTCGAGTAAGGGGTCAGCGACCGGTTTCAAGTATGAGAGAATGACCCCTGCCTACATCTAGGGGGAAAAGTATCAGCTGCTGGATTTATAGACATTTTAATAGTTGTCTGTAGTCTTAAATCTAGTGTGCTGAATCATTTCTTTTTTGTTTCATTTGGCTTTTAAGTATATTATAGATGAATTTTCTTTTAATGATAGATGAAAATTCATTTTAAACACTTCTTTTTACTTATTTTTTCCCCCTTAAAAATAAATGTCTGTTTTGAGGTAATGCACATGGACAAAACTACTCATTATAAAATTCCTTTCTATTCCACAACGAGAAAATATGTTTCTTCCCATTAAGCATGGCCATAAATATAATATACAATAGTATTTCGATGGGCCCTTAAATTCGCTTGTATTCATTATTTAAGGATTTTCATAGTAAAATCTCATTGTGTTTTTCCCCAAATGAAACCATTGACAGTTGATAGCCTTTTAAATGTGCAATTAATGAATTTTTATGTTTGATGTAAAATCACTAGAATTGACTTTTAATAGACTTGCAGTAAGAGAGGGAGACAATAGGATGCGCATGGGAATTGAATGTTATATGCTATATGTGATGTATGGGGATGTGTTAGTCATCCCTTAATTTTCTTTTAATTTAGAGAAATTCTTGCCAGTGATGGAACATTGAATGAGTCAACATTAGTCATGTTGCAGACACAGATGATTCAAAAACTTATGAATCATTGGTACAAATGAATCAGAAATCAATTAGTATAAACTTAGCATTAGCATAATTTAAATTTGCATATTATTTCCATATCCTCATTTGCATACAGCAGCCTTGATATTGTTAAGTAACACGCCGCGATTGATGTCTGGTGGGACGGAACTAGAATTTATAACTTGGCTGTGACGACATATATCACAAATACATCTACATATAATTAAATTGTAAGTTGCCGTGGTGATATCAGATTCCTATATCGTGTAGACTGATCCCCTCTGGATGGAGGCCGTTACATCTGTCGTTCTTTGGAGGTTCTAACGACAATACAGCGATGATAAATGAATGTTGTTACGACCGTTTGCTAAGGAAACCATGTTCTGATCCAACAAAGTCTGTGTGACGAGTATTCGACTTGACAATTGAAGATTAAAATTGCTATTTATTCTCCTCTCCAGTATCCCATTAAATTAATAGAAATCTTTATTTGTAAAATATGCTGAAAAAAAGCTTGTTTTGTTAGGATTAGCTAAATTACTGTAGATTAAATGATTCTGTCTTACAAATCTAGCATATTTTTTGTCTATTGTGGGATATGGCAAACGGCCTATCTTTATCAGTTTTCATCTTAACTGTTCCTATTCTCTCCTTTGCCATTTAATACTGTACTCTAATTAATGTTTTCCTTCTTTGCTATTTACTACTTGAATATACATGTTCAGAATGTTCCTCTGACATTGACGTCTAGTACTGTTAATTTTTGTTAGTTTGTCATCCTTTTGCCTTCTTCACGATTTCCTTAATTTGCATTTTCCCATGTTTGTACTACTGTACTGCACTTTCCAATAGTAATTTCATATGTATCATTTGGGGTGCAACAACTACTAGTGAAATAATACACCACTAATGAAATCCAAATTACAAAATATGTTTTAATGATTATAGTGATATTAATCACTATATCAATGATCAGAGCTTCAGCAAACAGGGAAATATGGGATAGTTTTCGCCCGTAAAGCAAAAAATAAAATAAAACTAAAACTGAAATAATTTTTCTTATGCTATTTATATTTATCGTTCTTCTGAATTTGAGAGTCTGTACAGTTGTTGCTTGCCCCTTTGGGGATTATGCAATGAGAAGAAGAAGATATTAATCATAGTGATACAAAACATAATTAGATACAATGTCTTTTCTACTAGCCTTCATTTTAATGTACAAAATTGCAAATTGATTATAAATATACTTTTGGTTTTGTTTGTGTATTATCTTATTAAATCTGGTTGTCAATATTAGAACCAATGAATGCATATACAGAACATTCTACAGTAGCACATAATTCAATGAACTAAAAACCTTCAATTGAAGAAGCATCGAGGTGTCAGAAAGCAATGAATAGAAGAGTTTTTATGTTTATCAATTATTTGCATAAAACACCGTCAAATTAATAGATAGTGTCTTACACTGGTTATCGCTGCTTCTCCGCCTGATACTTCCGTGCATGAGTTTAAACTCCTTGGGGAATTGTTTCTCACACATTTTCCTTTTGAGGTATAGATTCGTAGCACATTTTAAACCGCTCCATTGATGATTTTGATGAATGAGTTTTTTTCCCCTAGTCCAGTATCAATCGTAATTTCAAGAATGTAATGTTTGATCTCTTGAGGGCACTGTTGGAAGAAGTCAATGAGTTGACTATACATTGCTGCAAGATTTATATCAAAATTATCATATTTTTTTTATTTTAAGCTGGTTCAGTTATATCACTGATCATCCATGTCTATTTCTTGTACATGACTTTAAATTAATAATGAATTCAATTACATGTTACTATACCCATTCTAACTGATAGTAATAGCATTATTGTACAATATTCATGATGTAAGACAACTGTATCTAGAAGAAATTATACTGAGAACATGTCCATTGCAAACTATAAACTGTATTCTTTATCCCAGGATGTATGTCCAATAATAATAGAAATCCCATGAATCCAGCCGAGATGAAAAAAAAATGCATGCATGTATCAAATTAGCAATAATTTCAGCAGTAAAATGAAAGCGATTTTTATACTAATTTCATAGCATGAGCAAAAAATCCTTTTTCAACTATCTTTCAAAAAAATTATTCAATAATGGTAAGATTATTCAATATTGTTGATCTTTCTTTGACTCTAAATTTTAGCTTTCACCCTGACATACTGCTGCCTTTCTCATACGTAGCGATGAATCCCGCTTAGAATACTGCCACTGGCTAATGACTCAATATATTGCTCAGTTTTTTTACTATTACATCATAATGAGTAGTTATATTTATTTCAGATATTCTATAACCTTTATATTCTTGCTTCTTTAATGGGAAATCACTCGCTCGGACGTTACCCACTAATAAGAATAATTAGGTGACATTGTAAGTGTGGTATTTGTAGGAAATCTTCTAACTGAAGATTGGTCATCACAGTCTAACATTAGTCTTAATTTATCAAGTTTCTTTTATATACATGTTTTAGCCGGTTGTCAGTATATGTCAAAATTTATATTTTCACGATGTTTGCTCTCTGATGCACGGCTTTGGGGAAGAATCCAATTCCCTTTGGGCGGCGAGAAAAAAATGTAGCTAACTCGTCATTATTGATTCATTCTTTCCTGCAGGGCCGCTGCACACGTGAAAATTGTAAGTACCTCCATCCACCGCCTCACCTGAAAACGCAGCTTGAGATCAACGGACGGAATAACTTAGCAGCTCAAAAACTTATGCAGAGTATACAAACGCATCAACAGCATCAGTTAGTACAGATGCAGGCAATGGCCAGTTCTCACGTCCCTCTACAACAGACGTTAATACCTGCACAGTCGGTCACGCCCACGGTAGGTCTTTCGTACAGTTTAAGTTCTCATTATTATTC